TCCTAGCCTCTTTAATCTCTCCTCATAGGGGACCCGTTCCAAACCCCTAATCATTTTAGTTGCCCTTCTCTGCACCTTTTCTAATGTCAGTCTATGTTTTTTGAAATGAGGAAACCATATCTGTATGCAGTATTCAAGATGTGGGCGTACCATCGATTTATATAAGGGCAATAATATATTCTCAGTCTAGCCCCTTTTTAATGATTCCTAACATCCTGTTTGCTTTTTTGACTGCCTCTGCACACTGCGTGGACGTCTTCAGAGAACTATCCACGATGACTCCAAGATCTTTTTCCTGACTCATTGTAGCTAAATTAGACCCCATCATATTGTCTGTATAGTTGGGGTTATTTTTTCCAATGTGCATTACTTTACATTTATCCACGTTAAATTTCATTTGCCATTTTGTTGCCCAATCACTTAGTTTTGTGAGATCTTTTTGAAGTTCTTCACAGTCTGCTTTGGTCTTAACTATCTTGAGCAGTTTAGTATCATTTGCAAACTTTGCCACCTCATTTTTTACCCCTTTCTCCAGATCATTTATGAATAAGTTGAATAGGATTGGTCCTAGAACAGACCCTTGGGGAACACCACTAGTTACCCCTCTCCATTCTGAGAATTTACCATTAATTCCTACCCTTTGTTCCCTGTCTTTTAACCAGTTCTCAATCCATGAAAGGACCTTCTCTTTTATCCCATGACACTTTAATATACATACGAGCTTTTGGTGAGGGACCTTCTCAAAGGCTTTCTGGAAATCTTAGTACACTATGTCCACTGGATCCCCCTTGTCCACATGTTTGTTGACACCTTCAAAGAATTCTAATAGATTAGTAAGACACGATTTCCCTTTACAGAAACCATGTTGACTTTTTTGCCCAACAATTTATGTTCTTCTATGTGTCTGACTATTGTTTCGACTAATTTGCCTGATACGGACGATAGACTTACCGGTGTGTAATTGCCAGGATCACCTCTAGAGCCTTTTTAAAATATTGGCGTTATATTAGCTATCTTCCAGTCGTTGGGTACAGAAGCCGATTTTAAAGGACAGGTTACAAACCTTAGTTAATAGTTCCGCAACTTCACATTTGAGTTCTTTCAGAACTCTTGGGTGAATGCCATCTGGTCCTGGTGACTTGTTAATGTTAAGTTTATCAATTAATTCCAAAACCTCCTCTAGTGACACTTCCATCTGTGACAGTTCCTCAGATTTGTCACCGACAAAAGCCGGCTCAGGTTTGGGAATCTCCCTAACATCCTCAGCCATGAAGACTGAAGCAAAGAATCCATTTAGTTTCTCCGCAATGACTTTATCATCTTTAAGCGCTCCTTTTGTATCTCGATCATCAAGGGGCCCCACTGGTTGTTTAGCAGGCTTCCTGCTTCTGATATACTTAAGAAACATTTTGTTATTACCTTTTGAGTTTTTGGCTAGCCGTTCTTCCAAGTCCTCTTTGGCTTTTCTTATTACATTTTTACACTTAATTTGGCAGTGTTTATGCTCCTTTCTATTTACCTCACTAGGATTTGACTTCCACTTTTTAAATGAAGGGGAGATATGATAGATAGATTTTATAAAATCATGACTGATGGGAGAAAGTGAATACAGAAGTGTTATTTACCCTTTCATACAATACTAACACTAGGAGTCACCCAGTTAAGTTAATGGGCAGCGGGTTTAATACAAACAAATGGCTCTACCATTTTTGCTGCCCCAAGCAAAAAAAAAAAGCCGCCCGAACTGCTGAAGCAAAAAAAACAAGAACCCCCCACCCCCGCTTACACTGTGCCACCCCAAGAATGGACGGAATGCCGCCCCTTAGCATGTGCCGCCCCAGGCACATGCTTCCTCCGCTGGTGCCTGGAGCTGGCCCTGACAACTAACCTGTGGAACTCATTGCCATGGGATGTTGTGAAGGCTAAACATATAACTGGGTTAAAAAAAGAACTAGATAAGTTCATGGAGGATAGGTCCATCAATGCTTATTAGCCAAAAGATAAGGGATGCAACCCCATGTGTGGGGCAACCCTAAACCTCTGACTGTCAGAAGCTGGGACTGGAAGACAGAAATGGATCACTCCAAAATTGTCTGTTTTGTACTCTCCCCTTGAAGCTCTGGTATGGGCAATTGTCAGAGACAGGATACTGGGTAAGATGGACCGTGGTCTGACCCAGTATGGCAGCTCTTATATTCTGTGTTTTTAGCTCATTTTAAACAGATTCCTTTAATTCTCAATAATTTCTATGTGGAGTGGTAATTCCATGGGACAATTTACTAAATGCATTTTTACTTCATCTGTTCCAGGTGCCTTGAGCTATGCAGAACTTGGAACAAGAATCACAAAGTCTGGAGGACATTATATCTATGTACTGGAGACACTGGGGCCTTTGCCAAGTTTCTTGTATCTGTGGGCTGAGTACTTTGCTATCAGGTAAGATCTCTTTTCTGCTACCTGAAATGAGATGTTAGTGAGACCTGGGAAAGCCATGGAAATGGATAACCAGTTCATATTATTTTAAAAAATGCATAAAGGGAGAAACCATACACATTACCTCGAAAGTCTTCTAAAATAAAAAGAAGGCAGAAGGGGTAAATTGCCACATGTGCACATTAGACCAGCATGTCCAAAAAACTCTCTTCTCCAGGATATTTGGTACCCTCATTATACCACTGTGATAACAATGTTATAATTGAAGTTTAGAGGCTAGTTTTATTTTAAACCTTCTATTTTCAGTCACTTTGAGCTTTCTCTTGTTTCTCTTGTGCTGAAAATTCTCTGGATTGGTCCAGACCTCGGAATAAATAATAATTATGGAAAGTGTAAAACAAATCACTTTCACCCATATTTTACTTATGACTAGGAAAAAATCCCACATGGAAGGTAAGATAAACATGACACATGAGAGAGCAAAAACTGAACTTTAATACTGGCCCCTGTGACGTTGCACTCCAAATGATGTTCTGAAAATATGCTAATGAGTGTGAATATAATGGAACTGGAATATGCTTCAAGCAAAAGGTCTCTTGTAAGGTATCATTACAAAGCTTATAATCTATTGAGTGTGATCATCCTATTTGTATAACTGTATCATTCTTGCATCTGAAACTAGGAATATAAAATATAACTCTGAGGTCCTATTGTAGTTATGCGAAGTATGGGTTTAGAATCTTGATGGCTCCCATCAACTAGGACAATTAACTGTAGATGGCTCTGTTTACTTGTAAGCCTTCCTGTGAGTCAGGCTGGGAAGAATGGAGGCTGGGGTCCCACAGGACATGTGACCATGTCACCTGGTACTGGAATCCATCTTAAACCTGGTGCTTTTCCATTTAGAAGGAGGGGTGGGGACCCAAAGAGACAAAAGATTCCTGCCTTGTGCCAAAGCTATATAAGGAGGTGGAACAGAACAAAGGGGGCTGCAGCCCCAAGAAATCCCCTAGCTACCACCTGAGCTGGAACAAGGACTGTACCAGGGAAAGGACTGGGCCCAGACTAGAAAGGAGTGTAGTCTGTGAAAGAAGCTTATTGAAACATCTCAGAGGGTAAGATTTCATCTGTAATCAGTTTCTTAATGTATTAGGCTCTGACTTGTGTGTTTTTGTTTTATTTTGCTTAGTATTTACTTTGTTCTGTTATTACTTGGAACCACTTAAATCCTACTTTTTGTATTTAATAAAATCACTTTTTGATTATTAATTAACCCAGAGCAAATATTAATACCTGGGGGAGCAAACAGCTGTGCATATCTCTCTATTAGTGTTATAGAGGGCAGGAGTGGAGTCAGGGCAGGGCCGGAGGCAGAGGGGGGTTGAGCTAGGGTGACCAGACAGCAAGTGTGAAAAATCGGGACAGGGTGTGTGTGTGTGTGTGTGTGTGTGTGTGTGTGTGTAGCGAGGCGGTGGGATACCCCACAGCCCCGCTGAGGAACGAGCCTCCCCTAGTACCAACGTGGGCGGAGCCAGTGGGTCCTGCGCACGCCCCCCAGAGGTCACAGCGCAGGACAGGAAGTAGAAAAGCCTCGCTGCAAACCTCAGTTGAAAGCCAGCCGCCAGAGAGGCCAGATGCCTGTGGCCTACCTCTGGGTTGGGGAATGCCGGCAGGCTGCGGCTGACCCGAGGACTGGCTGGGCCAGCCGAGTCTGCCCCTCGCCAGCTACCCCAAGGAGGAGTCGTGCCTACCTCTCGCCAGCTACCCCAAGGAGCAGCCGAGCCTACCTCTCGCCAGGTACCGTGAGGAGCAGCCGAGCCTACCCTTTGTGAGTTACCCAGAGGAACCGATGGTGCTCGAAACTGCCGAGGACGCCAGCCAAACCCAGGTACCTTACGAGGGGGAGTCCGGAAGTAGTCCGGGGGCAGCCGACCCTGGCCTGGCCGCAGCAGGGCCAGAACCAATGTCCGTGTGTTGCGGTCAGAATCCCCACTGACACAACAGCGAGTCTTCTGCTGCTGCTAGGGCCCCGGTCTGGGACGCAGTGGAGCGGGTGGGCCTGCGTCCCCCCTGCAACCCCACTCATGGGTGGCAGTCTCCCCCTCGCACCAGCCCCTACTTAAGGGCCTGAGCTCCTGACTGTGTGTTTGCTGCCCCGCCTTGACCTAGGGCCAGGACTCATATTGAACTATTGGCTCAGCCCCTGCCTAAGGGCCCAGAGCGAACTGTAGCGAGGCGGTGGGATACCCCACAGCCCCGCGAAGGGATGAGCCTCGGCCGAGCCCTTCTACACGTGGTACCAGAAGTGGGGACTCTTGCCCAGGATGTGGGATGAGCCATTGACCTCTGTGAGAAAGGGTCTTGGGGAGAACGGTCCCCCACTGGAGACATGGATTTATCCAAACTTTTTACACTCCTGGTGGAGAATCAGGAGTGACAGCAGGCGGCCCAGCTCCAGCAGCAGGCCGCCCAGCTCCAACAGCAACAGCAGCTCATCCAGCAGTTGGGTGCGCAGCAGCAGCTGATTCGGGACCTGACCGTGCAGAACCGAGAGTTTCAGCAGCAATGCTTGCAGCAGCTGACGACGGCACTGCCTCATCCCCCGGAGCCCCACCGGGAGACACGGCCGGGTCACCCCGCCCCGCACCGCCCGTGCGACTAACTAAGATGGGGCCGCAAGATGACCCCGAAGTCCTTTTTGGTGACTTTTGAAAGGGTGGCACACGTCGCAGGGTGGACACCTGACCAGTGGGCCACCCTTCTGGCCCCATATTTGATGGGGACGGCCCAACTTGTGTACCGAGGGCTATCCGCAGAGGATGCCCGGGACTATGCCCGGGTAAAGGCAGCAATTCTAGATGCCTTAGACATCAGCCCAAAAACCTTCCGGCAGAGGTTCCGGAGTCTGTCCTACACCCCGGGCGCCCGACCCCGGCTGGTGGCCCAAGAGCTGAGAGACCTATGCAAGCGGTGGCTGCAGCCCGACAGGTGGAACCCCAAGGAGCTCACTGAGCAAGTCATCCTGGAACAGTTCGTCCATATCCTCCTGTCGTGGGATAGGGCTTGGGTCCTCTGTCATCGGCCTCCAACGGTAGCCGCCGCCGTCGCCCTCATGGAAGACTTCCTTGCAGCGGAAGCCCCGGTTGGACCGGCTACTCCGGGCCACCTGCCAGGGCTCGAGCGCCCTAACCTCGAGAGGAAGGCGAGCGCCCCGGGTCGAACTGCGAACTCCTCCACAGAATCATAAGCCCCGTTATAGACGTCCTGAGGGACCCGCTTGTGTGGGCCCGGAGACCAGGAGTGGCTGGGTCCCGCGAAGTCCCCCCAGGGCCCTTGGGGGAGGCTCGGCCTGGCCCGGCCCACCAGAACTAAGGCCCTGCTTCTCCTGTGGGAAACATGGACACCAGCAGCGGGACTGCACAGAGATGGATTGCAGCTTTGGGCACGTTTGCACAGGGGAGAGCCGTGCCCGACCGCCGCAGACCATCAAGGTCACCGTGCCCATAGTTGTCGGGGAATGCCAGATGCGGGCCCTGGTTGACTCTGGCTGTGGCCAGACTCTAGTCTGCCAAAGCCTAGGCCTCCAGGCGGACCCCCGCCTGGGAACCATCCAGTTGCAGTGCATCCATGGCGTCGTCCGGCCTTACTCCAGTACCCGAGTCCGACTAACCATGGATGGGGTCACGCGGACGATGGTGGTTGGTTAGGGTCCGCGACTTGCCTACCCCGTGATCCTGGGACGGGACTGGCCAGAGTTCTCTGGAGTCCTTCGTTCAAACACCGAGGAAAGCCCCAACGTCACCCCAGCATTGGAGGGGGACTGCTGCAAGGACCCCGCTGAGGAGGCAGAAGAACTGGACCCTATTAGACAGGACGGAGCACCCGAGGACCCCCCGCCCATGTTTGCTGACGACCCCAGGGTCGACACTGACTTCTGCTGGGACCAAAGGGGGGACCCTACCCTTAGTCAGGCGTATGAGCAGTTGGCGGCCATCGATGGCGCCCTGATTGACCTGGCTGAGCCCAGGTCTGGCCTCATTTCGAGCTACACCATGACTGCCTCTATCAGGTGGACTGAGATTCCCGCATCGGAGAGGTCCAGACCCAACTGCTGGTGCCTCGATGCCACCGATGTGCGGTGATGAACCTCGCCCATGATGTCCCAGCTGCAGGGCACCTGGGTCGGAAAAGACCCTTGCCTGAATTCTGACCCAATTCTTCTGGCCCGGGGTGCACCAGGAGGTATGGGAGTATTGTAGTTCCTGTCCGGAGTGTCAGCTGGCTGCTCCCCCATGGACAGCCCCAGTCCCCCCTGATCCCCATGTCCATTGTGGAAACGCCATTTGAGCGAGTGGCCATGGATTTGGTGGGACCGCTCCCGAGAAGCAGGGCCAGGTTTCTGTACATCCTAGTCATCGTGGACTATGCTAGCTGTTTTCCTGAAGCCATCCCGCTCTGGAGCATCACCGCCAGGGCCATCGCTGAGGAGCTCGTCAAGGTCTTTGCCCGCGTGGGCTTGCCGCAGGAGATCTTTACTGATCAGGGCATCAACTTCACCTCCAGGCTGCTGCAGCAGGTGTGCAACCTCCTGGGGATTAAGCAACTACGCACCTCCATTTACCACCCGTAAACTGACGGCCTGGTCGAATGGTTCAACCGTATCTTGAAAACCATGCTGTGCAAGTTTTCCCCAGAGGACCTGTGCCGATGGGATCAGTTGCTCCCGCCTCTGCTCCTGGCCATCCGTGAGGTACCCCAATCCTCCACGAAATTTTCCCCCTTTGAGCTCTTATACATCCGACGTCCAAGGGGGCTGCTGGACCTCATGAGGGAGACGTGGGAGCAAGCCCCGTCACCAGCCCAGGGCCTTCTGCAGTACATCCTCCAGCTTCAGGGACGTCTCACACAAGCAGGAGCTCTAGCTCAGGAGAATTTGAAGGCAGCTCAGGAAGCTCAAGCCCAAATATATAACTGGGAGGCCCGAGTCCGCGAGTTCGAACCCG